GTTTTTCTGTCTAAGTAATGGTACCGACGTTGATGATAATACCAAATAGAATATATCGATTTTCCTCTTTCGTGTGTGGCTTATTGCTGGTAATGTCTGTTGTTGTCATCGACAAGGACGATCAGAGAAAAGAAAGAAATGGGCAGAAAAACCACGCATAAAACTATTCAGCTATGTAAGCTATCAACAAGAAAAGAGGAAAAAATAGAAAAGATATTTGCAGATCATAAATACAGTACATTCTTCTCTGTAAGTACGAATATATACCACCCCACAAAACTGAATAGAAAACTGGTATCTGTGAGTATATTACTGACAAATTCTTTAGATAGAACAAAGAAAAAAAAATTGAAAAACAAGCTTCAATTTGTCCATAGACTTTTGTATATAATATTTAAATAAACGCGTTTATTCTTGCTCTTAATATAGTATAACATGTCAACAAAAAACATTCAGAAGTCAATGTCATTCTATAGATACTAGTATTGTTTTAAATAAAATGTATTCATTATTTGTAGATCAGTATGTTACGTCGAGCCCGTTCGTTGAGCCGTATTCGTGGCACGACACCAGGGCGAGAAGCGACCCCATCTATTTATGAATATGGGTCGAGTAATGAAGGTACTGGTGGAGGCGGTTTTTCAACACGTCTCAATATTTATACACCAGATCTGTATAGATCAATACCTCGTTCTACTCGAGCTGTTTCTGTAGCTCGATTTAAGGATGTCGATGATGAGATACTCGGTGGTCGATCTTATAATCGATATCATCGAGCGCAATCGGTAGGTTATTTTGATCACTTAAAAGCACGACGACCGTATTCTGCTTATGGTACACATGATTTTGATTATTTTGATCGTTATACAGAGCGTATTCGAGATAAAACACCGATTGCTCTCGATACTCATTATACTCATTATAGGCCTTATTACTGGTATCATACTGCACCACGTACCTTTTATTATAATTTTCCATATGATGATTGGCGTTATCGACCACTTTATTCTTATCGTTCTCCTGCACTTTATTCATCAACAGGTATAGATCCATCGTATAATTATCGTTTTAATGATGCAATTGATCGTGTAACATCAATGAAACGTGCTATGCGTGATCTTGATTATTCACGTGAATTACGACAACTACGTTATTCTACACCATCAACATATTCAATTATCAGTCATGGTGATAATTTATTAACTCGAGCACGTGAAGATGTTCGACGTACTGTTGATTCACGTGTTGGTAGTAGTGGTCTTTCAAGACTTAGTAATCCACGTGATTATTTTGGACGAACGGTAAGTGTTTCATATCTATGAATATTTTTACTAAAAAAAAAATCGATATGAAACTTTTTTTTTCTCTTAAGAATTTTATATAGTTATGAGAAAAAGATTTTTTGTTTCAGTCCGGCTATTATTAGAACTTTTATTATCTACGCATACACATACACACATACATACACGCACACATATATACATGCACCGTCCTTCCCAATAATGGCTCAAACATATTCGTGTAATCCACTGGCGTTCATTTTTATTCTTCTATATAGACATTCTTTTTTTCTCCTCTGCCGTAGTTTTGTGCAAATTAACAATCGAATATTTTTATCTAGTTCGTTCTTGTTCATAATAATATAATTAATGCAATAAAAAGAGAAGTGAACATACATCTTTTGAACATTGATTCTTTATTTTCATCTGGAAGAGAAAAAGACGGTTATTTATGTATTACATTCTTTTTCAGTATGTTCAATTTGAAAAAGATGGAGTTACAGACGTTGGCGTCAAATATACTGGTCTATCAAAGACTGTTAATGCTAAGCCAAGTACTTGGAAAGCTGAAGACAATATGGAAATGGCTTTGTAAGTATTTTTAGTGACATGGAGTTAATTATAAATGAATTATTTAGTGATTTACAAGCAATGAATGATGACACAGTGGACAAAATTTACGAGAATCAAGTTAAAATTAATAAAAATCGAGAATGGCTTTTACAAGATAAAGCTGGTATTGCTCCTCGAGTGTTTCATTTTGACATAAATACTGTAAGTTGATATATTTTTTTCCTATGAAATAAATTTATTCTATTGAAAAATTTAGCGTCAAGCTCGTCATGATGTTAACAATGCACTACGTCTTGTTCGAAATTTGAAAGAATCAAAAACCGAAACATTCAATAGATTGTCACAACCATGGACATTTGGAAAATATTCGTAAAGATCAAGAATGAACATTCTGAAAAACATATCAATAATGAAAAATAACTCTTTCAAAGGAAATTAAAAATAGTTTCTTTTCCTTTGGTTTTACTCTTTTTCAATTTTTCCGTGTGACCCTTTTCCTTAGCTTTTATCAGATTAAAATGTCATAAAATATTATTCGTAAAGAAAAAGAACTTTGCTTGTTCTTTATTGTCGTACTGTATTTTTCTTTATATCTATAAAATGATACATATTCATGTCAACAAATGTTTGCAGTTGGCCATTTAAATCAAAGAAATTCTATGTAATGAATCATGTCCTTTTAATGTTGTATCACTGGACAATGTATCGCTATCATAATTCGAGCTGTTGCTAAGTCCTAGAAAATGACAAGATGATCAGCTGAACTAACATCTATTAGAGCATTTGAATATTTCTTAATCGTTAGATCTAACATACGGCATCTTATTTACTAAGTAAATCATAGGCGGCGAAACCATTAGACTTCGGGAGGCTCAAGCCTCCCCTAAATTTGAATAATGAAGGTTTGGGGAGGCTGAACTTATTCTATTTTTCGGAAAGAATCTTAGACGTTATGATAAAAGGATCGAATAAATAAGTTCTTTCAAAAACAAAAGATGGAGGGTCTGTGTCGTTTTCAAAAGCATCACGTAGTTGAACAAGGTATTTTAGTAACTGAGAGTCGTACAAAAATCTTCACTATTNAACACCAAACACGAAATTATGCATTTAATATTTCTCGTTCTTTCGACTAAGGTCATAGAGGCATATTATCATTTGATAATTTTTTTTTGATGTTATATGTCGGCAATCAAACTATGATCGTGCATCGCAGCATCCAGACAAACAACTTGCAGACGCTTTTGTTTAAACGACTCTTTTGCTATGATTTCGACAAACGTTGCGATATGTGCTATGATAATCATTAAGACATTAATACATGTGATGATCATATTGAAATAAGATCTAGTCATCATCTTGTCAATGTCAAAAGTACTGCTTTTTTAAATATTAATAAAATCAATATGATTATTTCAACGCACAACAGGATTCACAATGGCAATAACACCAAAAAAAAATTATCAAATGATAATATGCCTCTATGACCTTAGTCAAAAGAACGAAAAATATTAAATGCATAATTTCTTTTTTCCTATTACTTGCATGCTGTCATTGAGTGATATGAAGATTAGGATATAGCTGAATACACACACTTATTCAAGTATATTTCATCATCACGTTCAAATACTTCAGCATAATTAGAAAAAGAATTAATCAATTTCGGTACCTGTTAAACCACTACTTTGTTATTATCAACGCAAATTCCATTCATTAAATGTCACATGACTTGGATAGTCTCTATCAATATCGAAATATTGGAGTTACTGAAAATATAAAATGTAATTATCAATATCTTGATGAGTGAATATGCATGTTGCATTCACCAATAGAAAAGTGTTATGTTCGAACAAAAATCTTAATCAAAATCATTCATAAAAGGATGAATAACTAGAGTAGAAGGAAAGTTGCGGCAATTCAAAATTAAAGTCGTTTTTTTTCTTTTTGTACGTATCGTCAGATAGAGCGTGATAACATGATCAAGAATATGTCATTTTTTAATTTTTTTTTGAATGAATTATTAGGAGAAAAACTTCAATTTTTTCCACTGAACTACTTTATGTGAAATAGAGGTCAATTTTTGATAACCGATAAATTGTCAGGTTTTTTTTGTTTCGTTCAAATTTCAAAACAGTTTTTTTTAAGATTCGTCGTGAAAAACTGAATTTAGAAAAGTCATTGATCATTGAATTTTCTAAATTCAAATTTCCATGGTGAATCTGAAACGAAAATTGTTTTGAAATTTGAACGAAACTAAAAAGCTGACAGTTTATCGGTGATCGAAAATTAGCGTCTTTTTCAGCGAAGTAGTTCAGTGAAAAACACTGATATTTTTCTCCTAATAATTCTTTCCCTCCAAAAAAAATAAACACACATGTATTCTCAATAAACTCATCACGCTCTGTCTAACCATATATAAAAAAAGAAAAAAAAATCTATTTTAATTGCGCGTTTCCACAACCTTACACCTTTTTTGAGAACCTTGATGATACTTAATGAGTATATATAAATAACATTTATATGACATAGTTGTGCATTCATTTTAGTATAATAAAGTCCAATAAACTAATAAAGAGTATAATTATATGAATCATATGCATATATGAAGATGAAAATAATAGATATATAATGGCTATAGAAAAAATATTTTTAGTAAATGTGTGGCTGCCGATATATGTGTGTATCAAATATGCTGTAATTGCATTACAAATAATGATCAATGACGATTTTGGTTACAACATTTGTCCTTCTATAATCTTTTCACACAAACTATATGTCACATAAGATAATCATTTTTTTTTCCTCTGATTATTGACTATTTGTTATTGAAGGACACCGTGAATGCCTCACATGAGACATCGCATCAACAATGTTTATTTATCATATATAATGAGAATATGTTTCATATTTTCTATTTTGGATTTAAATAACAGATTTTGTTTGGAATTTTTACCCATAATTTCAATCATTTATTATTATTAGTAGTAGTATTTAGCTTTATTTTCAATTTTTAAAAATAATACACTTCGGTTCCTAATTGATTTGTCATCTATATGTAGCTTAGAAGAAATATTCTATGAAAAATTTAGTTCTGTTGAAACACATATGCTGGTATTTGTGATACATGTGATCAATAAGCATTGTAAAAATCTAGTATTGGTAGCGTTGATTGTAGGCATCTTGTTGACTAATATAATCTATAAGTTCGTCTTGACTAATGTAACCTTGATTATTCACATCAAGTTGTTGCCAAGACTGCTGTCCAGTGCCCGAAGGTAAATTATAATAATTATTGAGATGTTCAAAGATTTGCTGACCATATTCAGCTGGAATTTGCCCATCACCATACTCATTTCCATACATATTGTTTTGTTCAACAAGAAAACGAATACGATCACGTCGAGGCATATCATGATTCATCATAACAACAGCACTAAGAAATTCTTCGAATGAAAGTTTGCCTGTGCCATCACGATCAAATGTACGAAAAATGCGAGGAATTTGAGCCTGCATGTATCGTGAATCTTGAGATTGAGAACCAGGAAACCGACTATATAATTTAGTAAATTCTTTCTGAGTCAGTTGTCCATCGCGACCAGCTGCATTCATAAATTCTTGATGAATTTCTGAAATTTGGTTAGGATCTATACCAGTTGCTTGTGATAATCTGTTCAAATCCCATTGATTGTATTGTTTACGACTTGAACGAGCTCCCATCGTTATTTGTAGATGTATATGTTTTGTGCTAAGAAATTAGACGAAATGAAAATAGATGCATTTGAATGTATGTTAAATAGTATGATCAGGAGAAGAGTCGAGTCAGTGAAGCGTAAACAACACCCTACCAACATAGTTAATGTATGAATAGTTATGACTCGAACTGCTTGTGAAATTGGATAAGTGTGTGGTCGCTTTTAGTATATTGTACATTCGAAAAAAATATTTTTCTACCTTCAAAGAATCACCGACAGTTTGCACGTGTTTAAATCTTAGTGATTTTGTTATTATTTTTTTGCATTACTGATCAATAATTTGATATGGTTCAACATATTGAAATAATCATGTCTTCATCAGCTAGCTGGCGGCTATACTATTGAATTGTGATACAGTTTAGTTGTATCAATTAGTGAGGGAATCAAAAAACTATCTAAGATTATTCGTCTTGAACTTATTCGTAAAATATTGACACTTAAAAATAATAGTTTTTTGTTTTAATTTAAAACTTGAACGTTCTTTTTTTCTATAATTATCATTCAAATTAAATCGTGTAATTGATTCGTCTCTTCATGTTCATCTAAGAGTATTTGAAGCAATGCGAAATTCATTAAACTTTAAGTAATATACTGCAAAATGCAATGTTGTATTATTGTCATGAAAGTTCTTGATGGTTGTCTGCTTGCCTATACATCCATTTCCATCTTTTCTCATATTCATTCATCATTCATTTTTTTTCTCTTGATGACGCGAAAACGACGTTATTCTCACTCGCGCGTGTGCATATAACCAAAGATCATATTCCTCAATATAACTTGCTCATCATCGAAGCACACACGTCTGACTTTTCCCGTTATGTAGTCCCCAACATAGCAAGAGAGAGAGAGAGAGAGCACACACACGTAAAGTAAATACACCAACGGGAGCAGATGCGTTACGGAAAAACCTATACGACTATACTCAACTTTTCTTCTTCGTCGCTGTGTGTGTGTATGTGTGTGCCCGCGCGTTCGTTCCTGACGAACAACATTACAGTAGAACAGAAGATGCTACTACTGCTTATTCTACCGCCATCATCGGTCGTCAACTTTCCGAGCGCGAGACACACTTTTTTCCGTTCCGTCCGCTTTTTCGCCTCGACTTCTCTTCTCTTTCTTTTGTCGTTGCCGAGAGCATCTTGCTTTCCATAGTATATGTTGATGTGTAATTAAAGTCGAAAATATGTTGTTTTATTCCGCTATTCTGTCAGAGAATAGCGTTCGTTTCTATTTGTTCTTAGAAATAATCTAGGTACTCGTTGTCGTCTGTTTACTTATATGTTGATGATGATGATGATGAAGATGATGATGATGACAATGATGATAGTTTTGGTGAACTCTTTTCCTTTATTCTTGTTCCATGTTATTTTTACTACGACGTAACCTATATCGATCGTTGTGCGTCCGTTCTTTTTCCTTATTCGCAACGTTTCGTAGTACGAGAACACGCGAGCAGACGCGCGTGCGGAAGTTCAAGAAGAAAGAAACTCTAGAGATAGATGCTATGTGTTCGTGTGCATTTTTTTGTACATACTCCACATCTATACACATTTCCAGACGACTTTGTTTCTCTTTCCTTTCTCTTAGATTATTTTTTCCGATGGTTGGTTGCCCTCCTTTTCTGTTTTGCTCTTTCCCTTTGGTTCCGTTCCCTCTCTCTCTCTCTCTCTGCTTCCTTCACTATTATCAACATCGAGAAAGCATAAAAGAGTTCGTGCGTTTCCCATTCGTTTTCGGCCCCAACTTTTTTTCCTCTTTTTTCCCTCTTTTCTATCTGTCTACTCTCGCTCGCATTGATGTATTTGTAGACGCCAAATGCGCGCACACATACAGAAAAAAAAAGACTGAGGATGAAGAAGACGAACACACATACACAATAGAAAAAAAGAGTGGTGTTGTCGTTGAACACGACTCTTCTCTTCTTTCCACTTTTTTTTTAACTTGCGCTCGGTGACTACTACTACTATATATATATATATGAAAGAAGTCGAATTGAGCACTTCGGTAACAAACAGAAAAAAAGTTCGTCTCGTTCTCTTTTTCTCTGTCTTTTTTTCTTCCATACTCATACTTTTTTCTGTCATTCATTTTAGTATAAAGAAAAAGGTAGTAGTAGCCGACTGAACTTACTCTATCAATTTTTTTTTTGTTGTTTGAAGAACACGTAGCAGCGAAAGAAGGTAATGATGAAAATAGGAAAAGAAAAAAAAACTTCTTATTATTACTTTTTCGTCTATGAGATTTTCTATGAATATTTTTGGATAATATATAGAAGAGAAAAAATTCTTTTTTTTTTATTTTAGCCATATTCTTTTTCAATGAGTGATCACTCAATATCGACAAAAACGACGAATTCACATGCATCGACGCCATTAGGCTCGGTAGCAAATACTCTAAGCAATCAACATCATCAAAAAATTGAACCTATTGATTATACGGCTGATGAAAGTATGATTGCTGTAAGTTGAAAATTTATGTTATTTTTTTTTAGGAATATATAATTTTTTTATTTATCTAAAAACAACAACAGGATTTTATGGCTGTTTTACCTCAACTTGATCCAGGTGATTCATCATCAACAGCAACTTCTCCAACATTAAAAATTAAAGGACAATCAAATGATTCATCTAAGTCAGTGAATAAATTCGATGCATTTGCTATTGCTGTTCAACAACAATTACTTACTCCATCATCTGGTTTATCAACCGTTCAATCATCATCATCATCTCCACCAAGAAATCAAATTGATTATCAAAATAATAATAATAATAATAATAATAAACGTAAACGTAAAATAGATCGTCCAGCACAAAAACGTATACGTGGTTCATATAAACTTGTTTCACCTGAACAAAAGGTACGAATACATGAATATGCTGAAAAACATGGTGTTAAAGCAGCATCAAAATTATTTCAAGTTGCACCATCAACAATAGCTTCATGGTTATATCAAAAGCCAAATGGTGAACGTACATCAGCTATACGAAATAAAGAAGCGCATTCACGTATACTTGAATGGATTCAAACACGACAAGAAAATGGTGAACGTGTGAATAATCGTGATTTTCATTCCTATGCATTAGCAACAATGAGAGAATTAACCGGAAATCCAGATTTTGCTGCATCACGTTCATGGTGTTCAAATTTTATTAAAAAATATAATATCCAATTAGATAGGTAAGATAGAAAGAGAGAGAGAGAGAGAAGAAAAGAATTAAATTTTTTTCTATTGAACATATATTTTCATTTTCTAGTGATAAACAAGTTGATTCAACATCTGCACAATTTCGTTTTGACTCTGTTGATGACAATGCTAGTGGTAAAAATTGTTAAATTGATTCTAATTTATTTTAATTTAAATTTTCAATTATTTATTTATTTTTAATGTTTTTAGAAAGTTCACAATGTTATATTGGTGAAAATAGTTCAGCTGATGTATTAACAGATGATGATGATGGTAATATAAATCATCATATACCAAATAATGGTGATAATCAAACAAGTCCACATAGTGATCAAACAGTAAATCCAAGTAATTCATTATCACCAACACATATAACAATAACAAATGGTATTGATGATGTATCAACAACAACACCAATTATAATTAAAGTTGAACAAGATAATGATTTTCATTGTTCATCACCTTCATCTCCGTCAATACAAACATTACCAAATAAAATAACTGTTGCAACTAGTTTACCAGTATCATCATCATCATCGAATTCAACGAAAAGACTCACAGGTACACTTAATCGTTTATTACATTCAGTTGTTAACCGACCCAATGGACATCATCCACATCCTCCTCATCATCATGTTCATCATAATGGTTTATCATCATCACCGTCAGCATCATCGTCAACAACAATAACAGCATTAGTTGATTCAACAGCTAAAGAACCAAAAACAAGTTTAGAAATGAGTACACAATCCATTGAAAGTATGAAGAAAAAAACATTTTGTTTTTTTGTTTTGAAAAATTTTTTTATTTGTTCGATTTAGCGTTTGTTCAACATTTTGATAGTTCTTTTAATACTATGACTTATTTTCAAGAAAAACTTCAACATTTACTTGTATCTATAGCACGTAAGTATCTGTATTTATTAAATAAAAGCAATGTTTTATAAAAAAAAAAATTATTTTCTAGAAGAACGAGATACATATCGAACACTTTATCTCAAAGAACATGATCGTCGTATAGCTGCTGAATTACGACTTAAAGAGAATAACAATACTATTGCCTAGTCAATCAAAATCTCTCGTTTCTTTTCTTTTTTTTTCTTCTTGTTTCTAATCCCTTTCTGTGCCAGAATAAACTGTGATCTGTAATTCTTGAAACGAAAAACAAAACTGCCAATATCTAAACAAATCGTTTTCTCTTTTGTTTTTTTCAAAAAATCAAAGTCAACGTTTTTTTCTTTTTTGTTTTGCAATATTTGTCTTTATTACATTTCGTGTGCGCTTTGTTTTATAGCCATGTTCTATTTCGTTTTTTCTGCTTTGTTTCAGTATGCCTCTTTTTTTATCCATATACACTTTATTCACTTTTGTTGTGTTGTGTGTGTGTGACTTTTTTTCTTTTTGCCACAATGACATGTATTTGTATATCTTGTTCTAGTCAGTTTTTTTCGGATTTTAACAAAAGAAAAATGCACAGAAGAGAATGCAGAAAATATTTCTTTTGCACTTAATAGAACAAATCTTTCTTATCTTTCTATATATAACATTTTAAAAAAGAGATTAGAAAAATTGAAGCTTAAATTAAATTATAGAAAATTCTGATCAAATTTAGCTTATAGAAAAAACGTACCGAACGAACATTAGTTGTGAACCATTGTAGAAAATATAAATTAATTTGTTAAAGAGAATAAGTGGAACAGGAAAGCATTGTTTATGAATACCATCTGGTGATAAATAATGGCAAATGTTGATAAGCAGGATACTATGATAAAAGAGAAACTA